GATTTTATTAAGTCAGGATGCTTCTTGTTGATTTAAAGCCATGATAGATGTCTTCTGATCTAAGGAGTATTGTAGACAAAAGCAAGGAGGGAGTATGGTCAAATGAAGGTTCCTCCATCCCTTCGCAAAATAGGGGGAAAAGGGATTGAGGAAAAAGGAAGAGTCAGCCTTCAAACCACTGTAATCTTAGAGGAAGGGTAATAGGATTGGAGTCTTGACATATTTCAACTGAATGAAAAATCATGATACCTCTACCAAAATTGTTAGCAAAAGGGAACCGGCAGGGATAGGAATGGAGAGAGCCTTGCCCCTCTTCTCCCTCTCCCGCCCTCTTCCTTCCTTCCTCTCCTAGCTGTCTGTGAGGAGCAAAGCAGGTGGCTCCCTGTGGCTGACTTTTCATGACAACATGCCATTAGAAATTGCCGTCCTGTTGATCAATCCTCTCGACATGACAGATTTGCCGCAAGGCCTGGCTCTTTGAGCGCCAGCACTGTGGCTTTTCCCTCCTTTTTTCCTGCACTAATTGGTGAAAGTTTTTTTACTGTGCTAGTGGCAGAGGAAATTCTTTTGAACATTGTCACAATCAAGTGTTGACTTCTTTAGAATTGCAAGTAGGTTAAGTGAGTATCAACATTGGGGGTTGAATGGGAGGAGGGAAAACACTAACACAAAGTTACTACTACCTAAATTTTATGATTAGAGTAGTGTTGGAAAACAAACTAATTGGATTTACCCCCCTTCTCTCAATATATATATATTGTGGGGTGAGGGAATGCACATGTGCATGTGGGTGTGCGCACGCATGCACATACATACACACACACACACACACAAAGTATTTATTAAAATCATGGTCCTTTTAAACTTCCATTATGTTTTGTCATGATGGGGGCTGGGGCAGCCCTGACATTTGAAATGGGGAAAACACGTTGCCATATTGATTGAAGAAAATACATCCGTTAGTTTCTTCTTATAATACATGGATTCAGAACAACAGTAACACGATTATTACATAACATACTATAAATCAAAGGAATATATAAAGCTTCTGTCAGTGGGGCACATTTTACTCTGAACTTAATGGCATTCTTCTGTCCAAAATCAGCATACAAAGAATAAAACCTCTTGGCAAAGGATTTGCTCTCAGACATCGATTCTTCTCCTGAAGTATCAAGATACACTTCTGCTTAAATCCTGATATTCTAGTTTATATGTAAGGTTATTTTCTAACCTAGAATGTAACAACCTTTCTTATATGATTTAAATCCAAACTTCTCTATGAAACCGAGAGTTAATAGGGTTTTATCTTTCTATTTAGACAGAATTTGAATTGGAAACCTATTTTTAATCTATGATTCAAAGTATTTACTGAAGGAATTTGTAAAATTAATCTTTGCTTAAACATGTATTTTTTGATTTAAAAAACGTGTTAGATTAAAAGTATCGTTTAGCCAGATCGAGACAGAATATGCGTATTTACATTTTCCAAGTCACAGAATCTGTTTAGTACGTTCTCATTCTTATCTATATACCATTTCAGATAATTCTGAATTGGAAAGAAAATAACAGAGCATGAAACCTTTCAACTTAACCATGGGTTTGTGACTATCAAGAAGAAATCTTATGCAGAAATAAAGATTTTGTACTGACCCATCATCTAAACATAGCAACGACACGTAAAAAAGAGGCTACTTCTATTTAGCAGTAGATACTGATTAGGAAATGAGAATTATAGGAATAAAAGTTACTAAGATTATTAGCAGAATTCCTAGTAAATGACTTTAGCTTTAGGTGCAAAAATGGAAAGAAGATGGGAAAGTATGGTCTGGAATTACCTGGCCCCGATATCCCTCCTTGGCCATCACAACTGCTGTAATCGTTACAGGGAAGAGAAGTACAGAAACCCCTATTGAAAGAAGCATCAATTCATATAATTAATTTTGCCATTGTAAAAATCATTTGTAAAATTTGCATTATTAACATTATCAAGTCACTAGTTGGTAAGACATCAGACATGACGAGAGTGAAGGGCAGCTTAGGGAGAACCGGGCTTTAAACCCTCAGTAGATCGGAGTTAGGATCAAAGGCACTTGCTTTATGTGGCTGTGCTAGACTTTGAAGTCATGACTGCACCTACAGCACTCATTTCATCAAGTTCACTGGTGTCTTAATAGCAGATCAATAAGTTTCAAAGTCGGAGAGTTAATTTGATACTAGTGCTGATGCGGTCGTGCTGGGGAAGCCGAGAGAGAGGCAGAGAAAGCTGCCTATTAACAACTCCGGTTCAGAGCGCACAAAGATGCAGATTAAGGATGTATCTATGGCCCTGAAAAGACAGGCTCTGGCCAGGAATGGGGAAGCTGTGGATTGATAAAGCAAAGGCTCCTTAATTTAGACATCTCAGGTTATTTGGAAGCCAGTCTGTGCTTGAAAAATCTTTAGTCGGATACACATAAGTAGGTGTGTTTACACATGTCTGACTTTTGGTCTAGATAAACAG